CACCACCACCACCACCACCACCACAACACCAATCATTTGGAGGGCGGGGAAGAAGAGGAGGAGAAGGGAGGAGCCGCCATTTGGAAGCCAATGTGGTAACGACCTCTCGCATGGAGGCCGCCATCTATAGTGTGCTGCGGTTGTACGCGCAGGAATTGGGTGCAAACTTCTTCCGTGTCTTTATTGACGTCTGGGCCGCCGCCTACGCGCAGCCCCTCACTGAACTCGTGGTGCAGTCGTGGTGCGCCCCTGCTGCGCAGACAGACGCCTGCTTGTTCGACGAGGCCTCAGAGCGTGGCGACCGGCTTTTCGAGGCCTTCATGTCTAGCGGCAGCGGCGGTCCATCTCACCCCGGCGTGACGCTCAGCAACCGTGAAGCGGTGGTGCTGCTGTTGAGCACTGGGACGGCAACATCGGCGCTGTCGCTGATCCGTATCGCCGAGGAGCTGCTGATGCAACACCGCTCTTCAGCTTCGGCATCGACGTCATCGCGTCATTCATCGCGTGCGGAGATGTCATTCGATGCCGCGGTGTTTTACTTTGTGCACGTGTTTCTCCGAACGTGTCCCGTGCCCCCGGGAGACGTTCCGCAGATATTGAACGCGTTGCTCGATCTCGTCGCAACGCATTTGTCCTGCGGCACGCCGTCGACACTCTCGTTGCCCTTCATTTTGCAAGTCCTCTCTGGTGCGTTGCCGCTGAATGCTCTTGCGTCGTCATCGTCGCCCAATGGTAGGGAGGGTGGGGCCGCAGTGGAGTGGGGCAAGGACAAACGGTACTCGCTTGCCATCTGTAAAACACTGGAGTGGTACAGCAGCACAGTTTCGCACACTTCCACCGAGCTGGACGTGCTGCTCTTCTTGCTAAGGGTAGTTTCGTCGACACTTCCAGCGTTGGCGTGTAGCACGCTGTCGGATCAGGACCGGATTGCGAGTGCCGCGCTGTGTTTCTACAGGCGGTCCCTCCTTCCGACAATCCAGTTTGGCATTGAGTCGCCGATGGAGGCGGACGTGCACGCCCGCACCCCGCTTGTGAAGGCAGCGCTCTTTGCGACACAGACGATGGTGAATCTTAGCGACATCGTCTCGCGGCGTCTTCGGCAGGAGTTTCTCGATATTCTCTTCACGTGTGACTTCTTTCGTTTCCCACAGAGTGTGCTGCACGAGTGGAGTCTTGTGTTTGAGCGGCTGTCGCAGGACCGGACGTTTCACGCGGACGCTGTGCAGTTCTTCACTCCGTCGTCCTCGCCTACCAGCCGCATTGTTGCACTGGTGCACTCTGCAGAGGAGGAGGAGCGGCAGCGCGTGCGGCATCTTAAGCGTCTTGTCTTTTACACCACGTCTGTGTCGCCGTCGCTGCTCATGACAGACCGGGAGTTCTGTTTGCTGCTGCGGGGGCGCATTGCCGACACATTCCGCTCCTTCTTCCCCACCGCGTCGGGAAGTGGCGCTGGCCGGCGGCCGCCCAGCTACCTCCCTGTGCGCCACGCACTCGTCCTGTTCCGTGTGCTGCTGACGAAACTCGACCCCGCGCTGCTGCACCATTTCTGGCCGCTCGTCCTGCCGGAGGTGGCGCGGGTTCTGACCGCCACGCCGTGGAAAGGCGTGAATGACGGGGAAGAGCTGCTGGCGCTTCGGATCGATTGCCTCAAACTTCTCGACTTCGCCCTGGTGATAATGCCAGAGGCGTTTTCCCCCTTTCGATGGGTGTTTTTCGACGATATGGATGCCTGCACAACTCCCACCGCTTGCACGGAGAACACCTTTACGCCAATTGTCCGACGTTTCGGTCCCGCCGCGCTGCCGCTGCACGATGTGTGTGCGTCTGCCACTTCTGCGCTTGTCACCGACTGGACGGGGTACCAGCGGCCGCTGCTGCGCCTGCCGACGCTCAGCTACTGCAGTCTGCGGCGGTTTCACACCTGTGCCAAGACGCTGTCGCTCTTTTCCCAAACCATTGGTGCTGTGGCTGGTGGTGGAGGGCAAGATCAACACGAGTCGGTGGTGCACCTGCGGCTTCTGGACGGCTGGGACGAAGCGTACGTACGGTCGATTCTCGAGGCGGACTTGTCGTGCGTGCTGGAGAAGCTAACACTGTCTTCTTCTCCGCTGTAGGCGGGGGGAGGGCTGGGAAAGAGGCTGTGATGGAGGCTGTGGTGTCTGCGACTTGTGTCCTGTTGGTATTGCCCTTGCTTGTGAGAGATAATGCCAGGCAGTTTGGTGTACTCTCCCTCACAATTTATCTCTCTCTATTCCTTGTGACTGTGCGTCTTCCGCATTTGCTTTTGCACTGCCCGTAGTGGTATTTGCTTTCAGTGTGTGTGTGTGTGTGTGAGAGAGAGTATGTTTTGCGTGTATACACAGTCAGAATCCACTTCAAAAAAAAAAAAACAATTGTATCCGCCGTGTAGCAGTATACTTATATCGGTAGTGTGTATATCTCTCTGTGCTTGTATTCATTGCCCTTTTTTTGATTTCCCTGACTGTTCCTTCTTCTTTTCTTTCCGGTTTTGGCAGTTGTGGCAGTGTGCTTGTTATGGATAGCCAAAAACGCGTGGACCAAGCTATTTTGGGTGTGAACAACAACATCAACAACAACAACAATGGCAACAACGAGGACAATGCGCCCGATTGTGGGCAGCAGGAGCAGCAGGAACATCAGCGTGAGGAGACAGCGGGGACCGAGGGTGATGGCAATGGTGCAGCAGAACCACTGACGGATCTGCTGACTTTCTATCAGGTTGACCTGAAGGAAGTGACCAATGCGCTTCTCGTCCCAGCTCACATGCTTTCGGCGAAGCTGCAGCCACGAAGCTCTCTCNCCAACACCGAGGGGGAGGTGGTACAAACGACGCCGACGTCAAACGGCGAAGATAATTTTGAGACTGGCAGCAGCAACAGCAGCAGTGTTGCGGATGCTACCCCGGTGGGACGGCCGAGGCGCTATCGCCCGCACCACAGCACACTGAAGGCGGCGGTGCTCACGTCACTGGATAATACGTACTATGTGGAGGAAACTCTCGTGATTGGCTCAATGAGCCGGCGCGGTGGGCTGTTGGAGCGCGGTGGCGATGCGGGTGGCACCCTCAGTGAGCAGCGGCAGGCGACGTCGCCGTCGTGCAGAAGCAACTTGATCACTTCGCCACTGAAGCAAAGCGTGGTTGTGCCGGCGGTGCAGTCGCCCGTGGCACGGCATCAGAGCGAAGTCCCCGGCACCCCATCTTCACGCGGTGTAACATTTCTCGTGCAGAGGCCGTCGAAGATTGAGTTTGGCGTTGACAATGCCATGCCAGGGAATGGCGGAGATTCGGATTGTCCTCTTCTTGAGGGCAGTAGTAGCAGCAAAAAGCCGAAGAAGAAGAAAAGCGTCCGTTTTCCTGAAAATGTGATNAAGTCTGTGTCAGTCGTCGAGGCGGATGACCAGCTGCATCTGCTCGTGGAGTACAACCACCCATGGTACGCCCATCTAGTGCTAGTGGTTGCCAGTGCCTTCTTCGTCCTTCACTGGGCCTTAATTGCCCAGGTGACGAAGCCATCGTTGGCAGAAGAGCGCATCGCTGCCGCTTCTGTTGTATCGTTTGTTGCATTCGGCCTTGGTTCGACATATCTTCTGGCCTTCTTAGCTCTTATGTGGCGACCTGGCAGCGAAGAGCGCGAGTATCTGAAGGACTTCTCAAGGAATCGCCCCGTTATCTATGTCCTCCTCGCCGGCGTCGTGGCGCAGTTGTCACTTGTCGCCACATTCATGCTTAGCGTTAACAGTGTGGGCCTCGTCTGCTTCTGCTGCATCCCGCTCGTGCTGACGTACCTTTACGAGGAGTACAAGAAGCACAGCGTCTCGGCGCTCGACGCAATGGGCTGCATCCTCGTCCTCGGGTCGATCGTCCTTTTTAGCGTCGGTGCGGAGACTGATGACGCCCAGGAGATGTACCACCGCGTCGTGCCGGTCATCACCGCCCTCGTGGGCGGCGCCAGTATGGCGTTCTTCCTCTTCCAAGTGCGTACCGTCAGTCGGTACGTGAGCAATTTCCTTGTCATGTCATCGACCATCGTGCTGTCAACGCTCGTGCTTGCCTTCGTCGCGTACATCACGAGGGGCTTCACGACACCCATTGGCACCTCGCATTGCCTTCTAACGGAGATATCGTCCGCCGACTTCCTTAAGATAGCTCTCAGCGCACTATTCCTCTTCCTGTCGTGGTTCGTGTACCACTGGAGCTCGCTCTTCTTCGACCGTATGACGCTTTCCGGCAGCTTCTCCATTGGGGGCCCCATCTCGCTGCTCGTATTCTTCCTGCTGTCACTGCCGACGGCGTCGCTGCCGTACGGGATCGCTGGCGGTGTGGCAATGACGATAGGGTGCGGATTGGTACTATTCTCAGGCTACCGGTTCCGGCAGAATTTGGAGGTGCGGATCGAGCTGGAGTGTGAGTGAGAAGATGCGGCGCGGCAGGAGGAGCGATGGAGGCGCAAGGGGTGCATGGGCATTCTGCTTTTGTATGTTCATATATTTGTCTGTCTCAGTGTGTGTCTGCATGCAGGACGGGGCGTTAGCGTCAGTGAGGCACAGGTGGAGGAGGAGGAGGAGGAGAATTAAGAGGCGAGCCACATTGGTGCTGCCGTTCCCCTCTCATTCTCTCACGCACTTCATCTTCCCGCTCAGCAAGCGAGAGACAAACTGGTGAGCTAGCAGTGAGAGTGGGAGGGAAAGTGCGCTTCATGCCTAATGGGTGGCTTCGGAGTGCAGGAGGGCACAGACTCACAAAAAAAAAAACGAAAAGAAGTAACCTCGGTGGAGGAGCGAAGAGTATAGTTGGTCCATTCCCTGTTTTCAATGCAGTTGCGAAACGTGCGCGCATGCCCCTTCCCACCCTTCGCGCACCTGCAGTGCGTTTCTATGCCTCACAACTCTGTCGGCTCCGCGTTTGTCCTTCAAACTGCTGCTTCTCGCCTCTCTCCCTTCCCTAAATCGCTTTGTTTCCCCTCGGACTCATCAGGAAGTAATGGAGGAGCTACTGGAGCGCGAGATCGAGGATCTCAAGCACCAGCAGGCGCTCCTCGAGCAGGAGCTCGTGGTAATCGATGACATGAGCAGCGGCGCGTGGCCCAGCAGCAGCAGCAGCAGCACTCTCGTGGACGTCGCCTCGCTCCAGTCGCTGGATGAGATGCGGCGCCGCCATCAGCGCGAGGCAAACCGGGCACTGCAGCGATACTTCGAGGTGGTGAGCGACTACCCGAAGTACCAGGCGAACCGCGAGCGGCAGCTCAGTGGTGCGCGGCCATTCTCCTTCGAGGCGCGCGAGCTGCAACGCGGCCAGCGCATCCGCACGCGCCGCATAGAGGAGGAGCGGCGGCAGCGCGAG